CATGAAGGATGTGTGCAGTAAACAGCTTGTTAAATGAAATATGTGCTGCTAGCAATCCCACTTAACTGAGCTTTTTCCTCCTTGCAATATAAAAAAGCAAGCCATTGCTGCTTTCTTTATTTGTGCAATTTAGTCAAGCTGTGTGTATGAATTAAATGCTGTATTTTTGCAAAGGGTTAACAGGATTTGTTACTCATCAATCAGGAATTATAATAAGAAAAGGGCTTTGGCATGATTCTGATCTTGTATCAGCTTTACATCAGCATAACCCTATTGATGTCAGTGAGGTTGTTCCAATTTACACCAACTTGAATTCAGATTCAAAACACTTTGCATTCCTCTTCTCTGTCTGTCTGTGTGAATATGTAGTGCTGAAAGGTGTCAGATTCCCAGCCCTAGGGATTAACTTTCTATTTATTCAGCAGAGACAAAAGAAGCAGTAGCAGTTCAGTCTTCCCACACAGAGCCCTACCAATGTGACTCAGTCCTGACCTGCCTCTAGGGCAGAGAGGATAATTCATTCTCCATGCCTGCCTAAGCAGTCTTTAGCCTCTCCAAGCAGCATGAGAAGAGTGTGAATTAGTGCTGTTTGCAACATGGTCACCTATCCACTGGAAAATGGAGTAAGACCACAAACAGCTCTCAGTTATGACTTCTGACCACAACTAACCTGAATTGATTTTAAACTAGTGACTTAAAGGACGAAATCTCTCTATTCTATAACCAGTCTGTTCAGACATCTAATACAAAATAAAACATTTTCAGTTATAAATGTAAAATAAAGAATAAAGTAGCACAGGAAATCAGTCATCAGTAAGGCATGTTTCCCCAAAGGCTTGCACATCAGATAGTCAGATATACATTATCAAGGTGAATACTTTGAGTCCTAGCAGTGCTCTATACCTATTTTACATGCACTGGGTATGCATGTAAAATGACTGCTCAGACTCCAAGGCAGTGTGGTACATCAGGACTTAATAGTTTATTAGTTAATTACATTGGAGAATATCAAAATTATTTTGACATCCAGAGCTGGTGAGATAAAACCAGATATTGATTTAAGAAAACTCTCTACCATTGCTGCAGACTTACACTTCTTAAGGGGGAAAAGAAATCCAGCACACTAGTAAATGACTGTAATAAGATGATAGTAATGCATAGAAGTGCTTTCCTGGGTTCCAATGCAATGCTTTGAACAAGTCATTTGTGCTTTGCATGCCTCATTATTCCCTCCTTTTGTAAAAGGAGGATAAAAGTACTTCTCTTTGAAAAGTGTGTTAAGCGCTTCAGATAAAAGTAGTTAGATAAGTGCAAGTTATTTTAATTATTCATTTATATTAAGAATAATGTCCATTTTTTATTACATGCTTTGCTTTGGTCCAAGGAATGTGTCTTGTTTGCGATTCAAAGTTTACCCGGATTTTAATGTAATATATGCTCCTCTGTGTGAGGAAATTATCAGAATCTGTGGTAGATTTGAACTGTATGCAACCTTTGGTCAGTAAATTGTAGTAAGCTGCATTATAAACTTGAAGATTAGCAGCCTAAAATGCAATGAGATCTGCTTGGGAAAAGGGTGAGCTGCATCAGCCAAGATGCTGCAATAGATGCTTCAGTAGATGATTCGCTTCCCCCTGACTTAGGGATGGATCAAAGCCTCACACTGACATTACAGAGCTGTGGACTTCCAGAGTCATGCTCTGTTTTGTTGTATACTATCCTGACAATCTACCCACTTAGATTTTTTTCATGTTCAGGTCTACTACTTTGCCAGAGTAAAGATTACTTAATTATTGCTTCATAGTGATAATACTTTGGGAAGGTTTAGAGGAGTACTGGTACATATACACTAATACTTGAGTTGGCCTTCATATTTGGAAAATTGTGTTGGATGGTTATATGTTACAGCTCTGTGCAAAGCTTAGTTGGCCCCCTGATCCTTAGGTACCATAAATGGCCACAAGCCTGCTGCTCTTTGTTCCAGATACAGCCTCCTTGTATTGTCATCTCAATATTAATTCTCCTGCTAAGAAAGATTTAGCAAACTCCTTTTCAACCCTTTTTCTGTGTCAGCTTCCTCCATGAGACAATAGAAGAGTCTCCAACCCAACAACAAATACTAGATAGTGTGATTTCCAATGCAATTATAGCCATCTATTTGAAGTAGGAAATTCCATAATGCCATCCCAAGAGTAAGTGCTGTAGAGAACAAATCCAATTCAATTAGTCACATTTTGCCTATCTAGAGTGTTTATTTTATTTCAGTTTAGTTCCTTATGTTTCTCATCCTGTTCAAAGTTGTTGAATAATGACAGCCACCACAAGGAAAAAAGAACTGCATTTAACTGCCTGGGGAAAAGGGACTACCTACCGGTGTGTATAAGTAAAGATCATGGGAATGGCAAAAATGGCTTCGAGTCTCCTTTACATTGCCCATATCCTGGATTCAATCTGCGCCAGATTGTTTCCTGAAATGTACTTGAAAAGCCTCTTCAGATTACAGAACTACCCAAAAAAGCGACTTCATCTTACATTAGCTAAGCAAAGATACCAGGGGGTAATTCCAGAAGCCTTATCCACCTCCCCTTGAGCAGGTGCTATAGGACCCCCTGTGACAGCTCTATTCTGTCTGAAGACCCTCCAGTACAGAGAGATCCCAAAAGAGGGCAGGTAATCAAGCTTCCTGGCTGCTTCATACTCACAGAGCATCCAAGATTCTAGCTCACAGGTCTGTAAATCAACCTAAGCTTCAGAATATACACATTACACAATATATTATCAGATTTCACCTAGCGTTACTTAATGTCTCATTTTTCACTTGTTTGTGTTGTGAAAGGTTATATATACACACAGTATACTATCAGACATAACTAATGCCTCCTGTCTCCTTCAGTGGCTTTAATTTTCAAAAGTTCTGCCTGTTTCATGTGTTCAAATAAAAGTTGAAGTGTTACCATTAAATTTCCACGTACAAAATTAGCCTTTCAAGACAACTAATTCCCAGCATCACTGTTTAACACCTTCCAAAGCTCATGTGCTGTTCAAGCACTGGAATAGCTGACCTAGAAAGGTCTAATAGAGATTCAGGTCATAACAACTTCCATTCACTATAACTGCATATATAGTATGGTCATAAATGGTCAGCGAAATCCACCGATGTGCTTAGAAAGGAAAGTGAGGCTGATGCCGCCCTTAGGCCGATTCATTTTTATTTTCCTTGGTCTGGAGAAACACCCAGTATGGGAGATTAGTAACTGGAGTCAAGATTTGTGTGGCTACATTCTTTAAGCAGTCCTGAAAAATCTCTGCCTTCACATACTGTTTATGATTCAAAGTGTATCCATATTTTCATGTCATAAATACTCTTCTTATTTCTATAGGATTTTAAAATAAGCTCAGGATTGATAAATCAAAATGTTAGTTTATATTTTAAATTTCAGACATTTGTGTTTATTGCTTCTGGGTTCGGCAGAATATATTTATAGCTGAGCTTTGAAACCAGGAATGAGGAAGTAAGATGATGCGAGTCAGTACTGCAAAGGAGTTTGTTCTGATGGTAAACACTAGTGAATTAAAAAACTAATGACAACAACATCAGTGGATCAAAAAAAGATTAAATCCTAACCCTTAACTGAAAGAGCTGGCACCAGACTGGAGGCTGTGTGCAAACCTTCACTTGGGAGTTTAATTCTGAGCTCAATACCAAACTTGAAGTGGGATTTTTTTTTTTTTTTTGTATCTCAGTTCTGTTTCTTCTGCTTAATTGTTTGGTGCTTTTCTCCTATTTTAGAGCAAAATCATCATAGATCAGCAAGCAAGTTTTCAGCACAGTATCTCCAAGCCCAACCCATGGAAAGGGTTCAATGTTTCACCTATTCCACCTATGTAACTATTACAGATGTTAACACTTCTTTCTGGTTCTCTCTCTCAGTAATTGTACCTTTGTAACAGAAGTACTGAAAACAGGCCCTTAGCCCCTTTTTATTTCACTTTTCGCTCTAAGCTTAGGTCTTCATTAAAGCGTAATTTGAGATGATTGTGTGTCTGGGTCAGGTGAATGTTTTATCTGCATAACTGAACTTGGAACAATGGGCTACACTGTACACAATTCATATAGAAATCAAGTTAATGAGTTTCATTTGAACTGAGAGAAGCCAGGAATGAGTCAGGAAAAAAAACTCCAACTGAGTCAATACTGGAAAGGAACTGTTTCTTCAAAACACAAACAGTTCAGCATAAGACAAAAGTGTGAATTTACTACTCTTGACTGCAATTGCTGGCTATGTTTCTAGTTGTTAAAGATTGGAATGGACCAAATTTGACAGAAATTGGCTCCTCCTGCCAGATCCATTGAACAAGTTATAAGCTAAACAACACCCAACTTTTTTAGCAATTCAGACAGCTCAGACTGTTTCATGGGGCAAGGAGTGATTTGTAAGCATGTATACATGGCATTTCACTGACTTCTGCCTCATTTATATAGACAGCTGTCATTTGTTTCTCATTCAGGCATATTAGCCAATACATTTTGGTTTTTGTTGGGTTGTTTGTTTGTTTGGGGGGGGGTTGGGGGGGGAGGAGGCAGCTGTTTGTTTTTTAAGGCATGTGTCAGTATTTCTTTGATCACAACCTACCTCACTTTTCCCCCCCCAAACAAGGTGGTAACTAATACATTCAAGAGAGGCGCTTTAAGTATCTGGCTTTTAGTATAGGGATGGTATCTAGTCACCTTGCTCAAATCATGCATGAGAATGGAAGTATTGTCATTGTTTTCATGCTACTCACTCTGGAGGAAACAGCTGCTGAAAGGAGGCTGCATGTCCCTCTTGTACACTAGGTAAATCCAAACAGGAACAAGTTCTGTGCAAGGTCCCCAGTGCACAGCATTAGTAGGTTAATTGGGTATGGGTGTTGAGGACAGTCTGGAAAGAGAGGATGATAATCACAGTAAATGTCTAAGTGAACCCATCTTGTGACAATTTCATATCCTTGCAGCATCCCATAGGGTCACTGTAAACATGGGAACAAGTAGTGCTATGGGCCTCGGTCTACTCAAGCTTTCACAAAAAGAGGAACCAATTTCCAACAACACCAGAAAGAGCTGCAGGTGCCTGTACATGGATGCATCTCAAGAAAGGTTGGAACAGTTTCTTTGAGATAAGAGATAGGTAGGTGTCTGTGTGAGCTTTTGCACCTTTTACCATATTAAGTGAATATATCTATTGTTGGAGGCTCTGTCCACTGCTGAAATTTAAAAAAAAATACTCTTCCAGAGCTTTGTTTGTTATGAGCTAAATCTTCCTATGTTTTCTGGTTACATGAATGAGCATACTACTTGCCAGATAAGGAAACACAATATGCTTTTAGAGGGAAAAAAAATTAGCCTATCCTTTTATTCTTTGTGAGCTGTATTTTTCTTTAGACTTTCATAGTTTTCCCCAAATCTGACACTTGGCAAGGTACATGTTCTATGGCCACATAGCTGTTGTGAATTCAGTTTCTGCTTACAGCCCCAGTAAATCTCTGGAAATCAGCTCTCAGCTATAGGTATGTGGCATTTGGGATTCAGCCGAGTACAGACTATAAAAGGAAAATATTCCAAAGATTGTCTTATGGATTTCATTGTTCCTCCTAATTTAAAATAAAAAGATTGAAATTCCAAATGTTCATGGAAGAAAAAGAATGGCTTTTTTTCCTCTCTTCACTCACATGTCTATTGTCATTAGTAAACAAAAAACCCAAACAAACAAACAGAAAAAATCCTCCCTTCCAACATAGAGATATCAATTTATTAACACTTCAGTGGTGAACACATTATAAGGATACATATTTTTAAAGAGAAGGGCTGTTGAACCAAAAAACAAAAACAAAACACAAACAAAGAGACATTTATCATTCCCATTTATAATAAGGAAAGCAACATAGGGATGGAGGATTTGGGAAAGTCAGAAAAGAAATAAAGAGAGAAACAAGTATTAGAATATTTAACCGAGTTCAGTGAAAGCTAGGAATATGCATAAATGTATTTGCTGAATTGGAATCATGTAGGTTGAAATAGAACAATTAAACCAAAATATAGAAGAATATTTTTGGATGAAACAAACAAAAGAATTAAGAAAAACAACTCAAAGATAGCAGTATGGGGAAAACAAACACGCCAACAGGAAAAAAACAAAAAACAAAAACAAACCTTAAAATTGATCAAAGAGAAAGAATATTAAAAACCTGGCTGAGACTTTTTGTTTTGAGGTAAAAGAAGAAAGTGGCCTCTGATTATGGTATACCTTCTATAAGAACACTGACAAATAAGATTTGTGAAGAAACAGCTACACTGAATGCAAGGCCAAAACCTTGGCCCAGGTCCACTATTTTCAGCTTCAGCTTATTGCATCCCTGCTTACAGCCAGTCTTGTTCTACACAGCACACCTAGTACTATCTAGCAGTGTCCAAGCCTCTCATCAGATTAAAGCAGACAACACCAAACAAACATTTTAACTCAAACATAAAACCCTTCTTTGCTTCCTGTACCACTCCTACTTAAGCAAGCTAGTTTCCCCTAGCCTACCAAGAATTTCATCTGGATCAGTCTTACTCTAAATTGCAGGAAGTTCCATTCAACACTCAAACTACTTACCCCAACACAACTAAGAGCTGGGTTTATATGACCCTAAGCCCAGTCCCCTTCTGGTTATCTGACCCAGTTCTCTCCAGGGCCAGATACTGTTGAATCCTTCATCAGCAGCCTGACCTTATGCAGCCAATGGCTCAATTTACAAAAGGGAGCTTATACCTGGTACCCTTTGCCATCAGGCTCTTTGCAGTCTACCCCAGCTACACTCTTCTTTCCCAGTAACAAGGGTAGGGGTCCCCAGTTACAAGATGCAATTTGTAAAACACTGGAAATAGGTGTACATCCTCCTAGGTCCCCTGAAGCTGCAATAAGATATTTTCCTGAACGTAATTGACCCCATTTGTCCGTGCACAAATCCAAAAGCTAGAATGCACCTATTCATGAAAAAATGTTAGGGAGACTCTTCCCTGCAGTTTTGCAGGTCATTGGAACTACTTTGAGTGGCAGACAGTTTATGAAGCAAAGTCCTAGCTCATATTTATAAGTTTGATATGAGAGCAGAGTCCAATTCCACACCTTTCAATATCTGTCATTCTGACAGTCACCCAAGACTGCACACACCAGTTAGAAGTGTAATGGTCCTTAAGTGAAAATAGGTGTGGTCCTTCAGTGCGGTTCAGTGAACCATATGTGCACTTAGATATTCTTGCAAGCATATGAGCTGTCTTCCCAATAGGTTGATGACAGTGTGGTAAGTGGTCTCCAGGGCATCATGAAAGACAGCTGCAGTGTTACCCTGTTGAATATAGTGCAAACAGAGCATTGACTGCTGAAACTTGCAGACTACCTGACATGGATTGCATTGGTACTGCCATTTTGGGCATGCATCCTGAGAATCTCTAAAGGGGTATAATTACATGTTGCCTTCTTATCAGCATTAGGACATCTTCCAAGGAGCAAGAAAAGATAGGGAATACTTGAAAAAAAATACTGCAAGAGCCAAAAGTTCATACAGGAGACCTATTTTTTTTAGGAAAATGACCCATGTACTGGGTAAGTATAACTATATTGTAAGCAGGGGCAGATCCAGAGGGTTTCAGTGGTGCAATTGCACCACCCACCTTCCCTGCTTTAATTTCTGGTTCACCCAAACTTTTAAACCAACTACCTGAAAGTGGCAACAGCACTTCTAGTCAGGTAGCAGTGATGAAACAATTGGTTTCATGGTTTATTATACTCTACCTGATTCCTTCTAAACTCTTAATTCCACAGGTGTTAATGATCCTCTCTCCTTTGTAGTGGTCTTAATGTTTCACAAACTAAGCTAGTCTTTTTTCTGCAGTTTTATTTTTAATGTGATAAAAATATCCGTTGTGTTATATGTGATGATATACCACATCAACTGGCTGCATCAACCCCTTTTTAAAGTACTAGATCTGACCAAGGCTGTAAGTACCATAACTAAGTATCCATATATTGTGTAAGTGTGTTAGTGATTGCACTGGATCTCTCTCAGAGAAAGTAGCTGCAGAAGGAGCATAAACAATAGCTGAACAGACAGCTACATGAGTAAAATACATCTAAGACAGGACCACTGAATTAGTACTGGGACCTATTGCAGGTCAGTCCTGAATGCTTTTGGTCTGACCTCTGGAATTTCTTACTATCCACAAGCTGCCCTTAATATTTTGTTCATCAGCCCAAAGTAGCACAGCTGTTATTTCCCATTAAACTTTGCCTTCTTGTGCTAGCTCCTGGGATTTTTTTAATATATATAAAGATACTGAGATACAGCAACAACAACAATATAGTCTTTCCTTAAATAGGAATGGTTTCCTTAACTTTTGTTCATCCTGTTCAGTTGCTGCTATTAATATTATCTGAGATTTGATTTTAATGCATTGTTTATTAAATATTTATAATATATAATTTATATATAAATATACAATATAAATATAAAACATACTATTTTAAAATATTTATATATATAATATTGTATTATATATGTGCAAATTGAGCATGGCACTTAGATTACTGACACACAACTAATGAAGTCCACGCTATTGTGAAGTTTAGGCCTTCTTGATAGGCCTAAACTTCCACTTATATAGAAATATAGCCTTCTTTCTCAGTGTGCTTCCAGAACAGTCTTCTCTTCACACTCAAACTACCAATCATATTAATACATTTTGATTATTCAGTAGTTCTTCTAACCAGCTGACTACTTTAGCATCCTACTGATGCCCCTACTCATTAAAAACAGCTTAGCTGGTTTTGGAGCCAGACACATGCACTTTTCACTGCATTATGCATTGCAGAAGGTTGTGGATTATTTTGTATGACTGGAACCCTAATTCATAACAAAGAAGATTATGGTATTAAACAATGAAAAAATTTTGGTTTCATGAGGATTCAAATCCTTTAATTAATTTGCTAAAAACTATAGGATTTAAGGTTCCTGATAATCTTTTAGTGTAATTGATACTGCAGCAATTAATGCATTAATCAACATTGTTAAAAATAATAGATTCAGGGTCAGATGTTCTGCCCCATCCATGTCTATCCCACTGTTCTGATCTCAGATTGGTTGAAGCATCAGGTCTAGTTAATAACCATTTTGACAAGGGATTCTACCTGTATTTTAAGTTTGTATGACATTGTGCATGTAATAAGTTGTAGTATTATTATTTTGCTATTGTTACAATTCTTACTCTTGCACATCACTCTTTCTTACTTCCCTTCAAAGTACATTTCATGAAACAAAGCATAAAAATTCACCATTGATATAAATCAGGGATGGGTAACCTTTTGCCACTGCTCATGAACCAGCCCCTGCTGCAGGCTGTACCTCTACACTCCTCAAGTGGTCAGCAGATGCTACAAAGGGCACAGATGAAGTAGGCAATAGGACCCTGGGAGTACCTTCTCTCTGGCGCAAGCTGGAACGTGCTGCCAATTCCCTGAGCAGCCACATACCAGAGCCAGTCTCTTCATACGCTGGATCAGGCCCATGGACCATAGGTTGCTCAACCCAGCCTAAGTTTGTATTTTGGGTCAAGAAGTAATAGAATCAAGGAAGAAGCTGCCATGATTTTAATTTTTGGAAGAATAGTCATGTTGTAGGCCTATACTAGAAGTAGGCTTGGAGTGGACTATGGAGCCTTCAGCATTCTGCTGGCCATGAGACCTCTCTGAGATGAAGTTCCATTAAATAAACTATAGAGCTACAACTAAGAGAAGATGAATTGAGGCCCCCTCCCCCCCGGCCCCATTTTCTGCCCAGGGACCTGGAGAGGATGTATTAGCTACAGCCCAAGGTTCATCCCCCCCTCCTCCCACCCACCCCCCATCTCCTTACTGAACTTCCATGCTTGTCAATCTTGTAAACATAGTGAGTCCAACATTGGCTACAGTGTCCAACAAAAGCATAGTGTGTAACACCAGCTCTAATATTTAACCAATGAAATGAAACATAAGGAATGAGTAGCCAATCAGAAAGCTACATAGCAACAGGCTCAGAGGCCTGTTGCTATTACCAGCCTTTCTGCCTTCTTTGAGGTGAAAAGGGCACCTGAGTGACCTACTTAAATAAGGGTTATAGATTTCATAGACATTTGGGCTGGAAGGGACCTCAGAAGATCAGCAAGTCCAGCCCCCTGCCCCAGTGGCAGGATGTCCGCAGGGGTCATAGGATCCTAGCAAGATAAACATCTAAATGTCTCTTGAAGGTGTTCATAGGTACTTGAACCACGTCTGGTGGCAGTCTATTCCAAACCTTGGGGGCTCGGACAATAAAGTTCTTCCTTATGTCCAGCCTGAAGTGATCATACAAGAGTTTGTGACCATTCGACTTGGTCATCCCTTGGGGCACTCTGGTGAACAGATGTTCCCCCAGATCCTGGTGAGCACCCCTGATAAACTTATAGGCAGCCACCAGATCACCCCCTAAGCCTGCTCTTTTCCAGGCTTATGTAAGCAGAATACAGAATACAACTCAGAACGCAACTTAGAACAAACATGTAACCTGTGCAGAGCATTGCTTCAGAGGCCTGTGCACACATAGGAGATGTCTGTTGTGGATTATGGGAGTATTTAGGGTACAGGCTGCCAGGGGATCCTCCAGACCCCTCACAGAGTGTGAGTTAGCTATATACTGTGATGCAAACTCCGGGAAGAATTGATGATGGAGGTAGAGCACCTGGTGAAGCTGTAGAACAAAGAGAAGACACTGGAGCACAACTTAGCATAGGCTAAATTGTCCCAGAGGACAAGCTGCTATTCCCAGAATATGGAGGTTAAAAATTTTCAGAAAAAAATTGTGTAGCCATAGGAAGCACTTCTGAGGAGGATTTTCACTCGAATTCTTATTCAGTAACAGTAATGGTCTGTCTTTACCAGGCATAAGAGTGGAGACAAGTCTTCTAGAGCTCCTTTTGGATGGCCATGGAATTAGGGTCGGACATTCCCAGGGGAGTTTCAGCCTAGGCTTCATTTGAATGAATTTGGCTCATGCACCACAGGAATCCGCAAAAGTTTCTGTTTACTTGTAGTAATGTGAAGCTAATTGTGTAATCAGCATTGCCTCACATTCCAGAAACCTTGAAATGATTTGAACTGTAAATAACTTCTGGAGTTTATCTGATGTGAAATGGCATGGAGAATAATAAAATGGTTACTGTACCTGATAATCTGGAAGTTCAAAGCTATACTTGCCTACAATGAGGCCACTGTGCTTTCATGGAAAAATAATAGCCGCCCTCCTTAAGACAGACAGTTCTGTACTCTAAGAACAGATGGTACTAATGCTGAAGCCAAAAATTCTGCTGTTTCCTATTTATTAAACTGACCAGAGGTGACCATACGAATGGCAGGTGTTCTCAAGTAAACGCATCAGCTGTGATGTATGGTGTAGCTGTGCCTGATTCTCGTTTACACTAAGGACCTTTTACATTGCCAGAGAGTTCAAAGGGGCTTTAGTGTAACTGTGAATTAGGCTCCCCCTGTTTCCCCTGCCACAGCTATTTTTAAATGACTCAGGAGGTGGCAGAGGCAGATATCTAGTCTTTTTCTGAGCATGGCTATGCTTAATTCATGGATGATAGATCTATTAATGGCTATTGAACAAAATGGTTGGAGATGTTTCCTCTGGCCTCTCTAAACCTATAATGGTGGATGTTAAGGAGGGTATTGAACAGGGTATAGATCACTCTAAAGATAGTAAGGTCAGTGCTCTCCCTGTATAGCATCCACTTCTGCCACTGTCAGAGACAATACTGGGCTAGATAAACCACTGGTCTAACCCAGTGTGGGAGTTATGTTCTTAAGTTTTATTTTTCTTTGTTCTCCACTGTTCACTCCCTGGAAAAGCCTGAGAAGTGCCACCTTATACATCAATACACAGGATGCTGGTCTCTAAGTGAGTTTGTACATGTGCTCAGGGGTGGGGGGAGCGCTTTAATTAGAGCAGCTCTGAGAGCCACTCTAATTAAAGCACCCACTATGTCTTGTGTATCAGTGTCCCTGCACTTCAAAATGATGGCAGGGGTGCTTCATCTAAAGCTTATCAAACGAGCTTTAGTTAAAATGCCCCCGCCACCATTTTGAAGTGCAGGGATACTGGTACTCAAGACGTGGATTAATCGAATCTGCTCTGACGTGCTGTAATTACAGCATGCCAGAGTAGCCTCCTGGCACTTGTACAGACACCCTAAGGCTGTGTCTTCACTGCCAATTAACGTGGAATTTAGGGTTCTCATAGACCCATGTGCCCTGCTCTTCTGCAATGAGAACCCTTACACCCAAACCCTGGAAGTTGTCTTGCCTGAGACTGGAGCTCTGTTTTAGGATCTGGAGTCAAGCCTCCTTGCCTGCCCCTCCCCGCAAAGTGCATTCACTACCTCGGTGAGTGTAGTGTACTGCAAGTACAAGAAATCAACCAGGGTAATACTAGGGTTCCCTGTTCCTGACTTCTGGACATTTTACACACAGATTCTTCTCTCCACTCTGAACAGTTAGACCCAAGCCTAGAGGGAGAGACAGATAATGAACAGACTGATGCCTAGAAGGGGCAGGAAAGGAATCATTGTGTGGGGTGACTACCAGGTAAGATATCAATGGGGAGGGACTGCTTATTTGGCTCAAACTATTTGAGGATGACCCTCAGGGTCAACCTTAAATAACAGTTTGGAAATAACCTAAGAGTGGGTCAGCAGCAGATGTTATAATAGAAACTCCCTCCTTGTCTCCCTTGTATAGGTGCATAGTCCTTTAGAACTGCTTATATTCCCTCTGAAGCTGATGGCAACACTCCCATGATTTCAACTGTAGCAGGCCCACAGTTTTTGCCAGACCAGTGAGTAAGACTTTGAGCTTTTCTGTCAAATCTGCTGACCAGGTACACTATCTGTCAATAACAATTAAGGAAAATATTTGAAAGTGCTAGGGTCAACACATAAGAGAAACAGAGAATCCCACTATCTTAGTGAGGGCTCATTTGTTTAGAAATACCATGCATCTCAGGATTCAGCTTTAGATTTTGAAACAATAGTCTATTCCTGATGTTTAAGTCTCCTTTTTAGTACTGTAATATAATATTAATTTACAGAGAAAAAGGAGTCAATGAAGTTGCTGTTTCTGAAAAGAACAATTCCTTTTACTTGTGTCAGTTATTTGATATGTCTATTTTAGATGTGTCTCTGAAAGGAGAATATGGGTCTTCAGTGAGAATTTAAAACACTTGAAGTGCCCACCACCATTTGACAAGTGCAGTTATGCATACCCCATAATCACTACCCACAAATGCGGGGTTTATTTGAATGTCAGCTGAGCAATGTCACATACTGTGTTTCTTTATCTTTGTCTGCAGTTGCAGGAACATTGAGAGACACGGGAACATATGCCACAGGAATTAGAATTTAGCCCTTTGTGTCTTGACTGCTAAAGAATGGAATTTGTTAAATTGCAGAAGGTGTTTTAGATTCACTAACCAATTCTCTTTACTGTGAAGCAAAACTTTTGTTTGTTGTGAAGCAAAATCTTGTTGATTATTAAGTAAAATTGGAGTTAGTGGGCTCCATTATAAATGGGAGTGAGCTTTCTCTGGGATACACTCCGGGATGCTGAGAAAATCAGTATGACTGGGGAAATTAAAAGTTAAAGGACTCATGTGCTGGTCTAAACCAGGGGTCAGCAACATATGGCCACATTAAAGTTGCTGTAATGGGTGAGCAATATTGATATAGATTCAGGTAGAGTTTCTGAAGCCTTGTCTGCTTTGAAGGAAAAGTATCAGTTTTGGCAGATTTTGCCATCCTTTGCATACTTGTTAGCTTTTCCAGTTTTGAAAAGGAAAATAATAATTGTGCATGATCCAGACTTCCAGTTAGCTGCTTTTAATTAACCACACATTGGGTCCTTCCCATACAGATCAGAATCCAAGAAATCAAATTTGATGTAATCATTTTGATGCTTAAAGCCTTGCTTTGTTTTATTCAAAAAAACAAACAACTGTTTTCTTTTATCTCAGCAATTTGCTGTGTTCAATAAAGTCCTCACATTTGGAATTGAAGAAGGTGGTCCCCAAATGAGTCATCCAAAAACTGGCCATTCTCCTTACACACAAGCTGCAGGAGCAAGAAAAAGAAATGGCCTGCAATTCATTTTCTGTGATCTTCTAAGAATTAAGGCAAAAGATAATCACTGTGCTCCCAAAATATTTTTTCATTCAATAATAAAAAGCCTGGGTGAAGTTTTACAAAAAATGGGACACAAATCTTTTATTTGTGTAAATTAGGGTCACTTCACTGACTTCAGTAGAATCACAATAAGTTACAGCAGATGAGCATTCAGGCCCCTAAATTCGTATCTATAGTATCTGAGTGAGTATACCGACATTCTAAAGTGGTCTGAGCAACCACCACTGTGGTTTGGCCTTTTCATGATAAGAAAACAACACTTTATGCTACTCCTGCCTCACCAGATAATTGTTTAATGACATGTCTGTGGTGGAACTTGTTACTTCAAAACTTGCTTATTTTATAGTTTTAACAAGACTTATACTCCTTCACAATGCTGATGACTTAAAATGGTCAACACACAGAACTCATCTGTAAGTGAAAGAGCTTTTGGGGTTTAAGACAATAGCCTCCTACACCAGACGAGAATACCCTGAGATTTGGAAGAAGAGGAAAAGTAATCTCCTTAGAGTCGGATTGTGCAACACAGTAACTGAAATGGGACATAAAAGAAACTTGGTTCCTGATCAGGAATGTTTGGCACCTTGCAACATCAGGTCCTTTGTTTTAATTTCTAATGTGACTCAACCAGGTCAGCTGTAGCCTGTGCTAAATATTAACAACATTCCACTTTTTGAAATGCCCCATTTGCTCTGTATCAAAACAAAAGAAAATATTTACTGACAATGATTTACCTAAAGTATCCAGACAGCTTTCTCTTTTTACTTTAATATTCAAAATATGTCAGGTGGCACAAGAGGTTTTCCTCAAAGGTTTGCCATGGTTTATGCTACTGGCAGCTAGTAAACTATTGAAATCAGCTAGCTCGTCTCAAACAAAAAATGGTATGATTCTCAAGGGGAAACATGCTTCAGTTTAAGTAGTTTAATTTACATGGATGAGAAGCTTCTTGACGTGCCTATTAGGGAATAATTTCACTGCATTCTTCCTTCCTGTACCAGTCATCTTTTGTAGAGCACAACATACTGTTTGCAGAATATTATGACTATGACTACTTTGATCATGACATTGAGCTGCCCTTTTTTTTTCCTTTCCAGTTCCAGTCCCATGCAATGGAATCCTTGCATTTACTGCAGCCTGACTGAAGATTATACAAACATATTGGCCATGTTTGGGACTCTCAGCTCACTTACAATAGTTTTCACCAGTGCAGCTCTGTGGAATTTAGCAGTCCCTGGTACTTTTGAGAACCGTGTAAAGTAGAGGTAATGAAGATTAGATAACTTATTTTAATCCAGGCTGTTCTTGTCTGAACTAAGGAAAAATTCCTATTCAGCACCATAATATGTTAAACCTTTTAGATAACAAGAGGCATTTTACTAGTATAAGCAAATTCTCTTACAAGGCGAAACACAAAAAATATTCAAGTTTTATTATGTGTATGAGAATGTATTTTCTTTTGTAGATTCAGATAAATTCATAAAGAAGTGATCTGGAATCTTTAGGGTCCTTGATTCTTCTTTCTAGTTTGTATAATGAATTTAGCTGATTTATAGGGGTGGAAGACTACTGAAAGTGAAGGGAGAATAGGATCCTGTCTTTCTGTCTGTCTGTCTGTCTATCTATATGAACAAATACAATTTCATTCTGCCTTTAAGTACAGTTCAGTCAAGCTTTCACCTGCTTTTCTACCCTTGTTATAACAATAATCTTCATATTTGCAGTAGTGAAATACCATACATTCCCATGGACAAAACCGGAGCTTAAAAAAAGCTCAAAAAAGATTTTGAACAGTTCACATGTCGTACAAGCATGTAGAGGCTCATATTGCAGTGGGAGACAGAGATCAAATATTCCTGGAGCTCTGTACATAAGTATGCACTAAATCTGCATGTGATTCTTGAGGAATATAGGTGCAATGCTGTACACAAACAAAGGAATAAGAGAAAGTTTTGAGAAAAGTTCTTTACTAGTACTTAGGAAATGCAAAAATAAACAAAGAAAGAGAATGTGCAAATTTCCAAAGATACTTCAGATATCCAGGTTGTTCATAGATACTTCAGTTATAGGAAGAAAAACATGGTTTATTTTTGTTTTTAAATGAAACTTAAGTGATTCACAACATAAATAATGTGCAAAACCCAAGAAGACAACTGGAATAGATGTGGATAATGCCATTATGTGATTATCCTGAGATGTGACATTGTAAAGAAGAAATATTATTTTAAAACAGTGTCTTCAGCATAATTAAATATGTTTGGGTATACCGCAGACAGAAGTAGACCTCTCCACGTACACGTACATACATGCACGTGCACATGTGTGCATGCACACACACACACACACACACACACACTTCATATCCTTAGTGAACCTCAGCGTGTTCTGTCCCTACAGAAATTCCCCAGAAAGATGTCCTCAGTATCAAGGAAAAATACATAAGTGAAATTTTGTCATATTGAAGTCAATGCCAAATGTGACATTGGCTTCAGTCAAGCCAGGATTTTACTCCAGGAGAAGCCTTTCATATGGGATTTAGTCCTGCTGCAAACATAGTACAGGTGAAACTCTGCACCTAGGTATACCTCTGACTTCCACGGGCTCCATTTTGGTGTAGGAATGTTTCCAAAAGCTAGTCATTGTTGAAATGGGACTAGAGTTTTCTCCAAATTATTCTCAACTTGTCATAGTTCTCATGTGGTTGGTCTAAAGGCACCAGTTCTACTTCCAATCCTTGTGGATTCTAGAAGATCTGCAGAAGGCTAGGTTCACAGTGACATGTAGATCTCCAGGCTGGCCCTAAGGCCACTGGAGTTCCTTTTTACTACAGGTTGTTCAGTCATGTGGGGCTGAGCTGTCAAGCATTCCTAAGACAGTAGCTAATCTCCTTTGTAAGCAGGTGTTCCATGATTCAGAAAGAAGCCTTCCAAATATTAATGTTCCCATGCCGTGCATTAATTGCACTCCATTTCTCATGAAGCCCAGGGGGTTAGAAGATTATAGCGTACTTTTCCATAGAATACTTGAGTGTAAAGATATTTTCTCCCAAACATATATTCCCTGAAGTTATTTTGAAGATCTGGAGAGAACTGTAATATAATTGATAGAGACAGCAGTGTAAAATTATAGTCTGCACATAACTCAAACTAGCCAAGGCAGGGATTATGTTTATTACCGATAAGGCTTCAAAATTACATCATTACACTTTCAGAGTTGCAAGATACATCAAGGTCAACTATTACAATGAGGCTAATATTTCAAAGTGCAATGTTTTCTCTGGGAATTACTTAGCTCATTTTGTTAGCAACATTATACTTTAATAACATACACTGCCCTCTACACACGCAGGTAAATGCTAGGCATGTGCGAAGCAGCTAGTATTCACTTCAGATTCGTCCAATTCAGGAGACAGTGATTCGATTCAGTGATTTGAATCACTGTCCTGAATCGATTCATCCAAATCTGATTCAGAGATTCAGCTCCTGCCAAATCTCTGAATCTCCAAATCAGCCAGGCCCATCCCCCACCCACTCTCCCAGTGCAGCAATGGCTGCCCTGCCCATCCCAGCTCCCAGCATTTGGGGAAAAAAAGCCCCAACTCACAGGATGCTGCCAGGCAGGGGGCAATCCCTGCTGCCCCCCAGTTCCCCCACTGTGTGGGGGGCTCTGCATGAGCCCCCTGCCCCCCCCACTGTTCCAACCCTGCCATGGCTGCCCCACTCACTGCAGCTCCAGCCCTTTAAGAAAAAAAAATGAGAAAAACCCTGCACTCATGGGTTCCTGCCCAGTGGGAGGCTATCCCCACTGTCCCCCACTGCCCCATGCCCCATGCTCCATGGGTGGCTCTTCCAGGAGCCACCTGAAGCCCTGAGGCTGCTGCAGG